ACACAATCAATTTTAACCGAGATGAAGGACAGAAGCAAATATGTAGGGCTTTCATGCCTTATATGTTCTCATGATCAATATAAAATGCATTTAATAACAATAGTCTCAATTTATCAACATCAGGATAAGGCATAAAAAGATTGTATACCTCATCTTTCATCATTTGTCGACTAAGATAATCATCATACCAACACAATCAATTTTAACCGAAGTAAGGAACAAAAGAAAATATATAGGGCTTTCATGCCCTATATGTTCTCATTATCAATACAAAATGTATCTAATAACCCCCGTCTCAATTTTTCGACATCAGGATAAGGCATAAAAAGATCGTATATCTCCTCTTCCATCATTTGTCGACAAAAATATTCATCATACCAACACAATCAATTTTAATTGAGATGAAGGACAGAAGCAAATATATAGTGTTTTCATGCCCTAAATGTTCTCATGATCAATACAAAATGCATCTAATAACTACCATCTCAATTTTTCGACATCAGGGTAAGGCATAAAAAGATCGTATACCTTCTCTTCCATCATTTGTCGACTAAAATAATCATCATACCAACATAATCAATTTTAACTGAGATGATGGACAGAAGCAAATATATAGGGCTTTGATGCCCTATATGTTCTCATGATCAATACAAAATATATTTAATAACGACCGTCTTAATTTTTCGACATTAGGATAAGACATAAAAAGATCGTATACCGTCCCAACCAGTTAACTGATTTCCTTTACATTTTTCTCTGCTTCAATTTATAGCTACCTAACTAGTTAGCTACTTAAAGAAAGGTCCTTTGAAGGGGTAAAGAATGACGGTTAGATCACTTGATTACTTTTTTTACTATCCCCTATAAAATAATGTTCTACATCTAACCTTCAGGCTTAGTTTTGGACCAGGCCAGGATATATTAGCCCACCTTTCATTGTGGTTAATTTTTCATTCTTGTGGGCTCCGTATTTCTCTCTTACAACTATGTTCCTTAAAAGGCATAAACATAATCTTTCCACTCTTCCAAAAAATTGTAAACAAGGCTTTCATTTTTGCATCACCCTCTCAAGTTAGTTATCTGCTGAAGAACTATTTAGCTAATACTTTAACCATGGAAAATATAATATTATAAATTTTATAAAGCGCCTAATCATCTATGTGACAAAACAACTTTCTTAGACAAAAAAATGTATGATAGAATTCTCAAGCTCAAACAATAAAATAATTTTTTTTAAATAATGAAACTAATAAAAAACTTGGAACTTATTCTTCAGCAAGAGAAGTTAAAAAAGGTGCTCTAAAGGCGAAAGCTATAGAACTGAAAAGAAATTGAAAAACCTTGCCTCAAAACTCAAGAAGCCCTGCCATTTTGTCACATACGAAACCAAAATTAACAACACAACCAAAACATGCCAATAGCCAAACATCAAATCACAAATTCACAATCACTTGCGGTACTAAACCAAATCAAAAATTAAAAAAAAAGTGTAGTTATTACCGTGCTTCCCCATCAATCCTTGGCGTCAACTTCAGCATCTTTCTGGAGCAAAAACTCAACGACTTTAGTGAATCCCTCACACACGGCAACATGAAAAGCAGTGCGATAATCAATATCCTTGAAATTGACACTAACCCCAGACTCCAACACCTCGCGAATACCATCCACATCGCCCTCGAACGCCGAATACATCAACCTCACGCTCTGGTCAACGGCGTCTCCCTCATTCTGAAGCCCCGCTTCCTCGTTGCAGCATTTCGGTGCCAGCGACGACTGCTTCCCCAACGTAAACCTCCCAGGGTTTTTCGACTCCATGCCGAGATCAAGAGAGACATGCGTGATTTTAGAGACCAATTGGGCAGCCAATAAACCAAAATTGTCTATTGCTTCAACAACACACTAAACTATTAACACATCGCCTCAGTCTTCTTGTTTTCAAAACTCCAACCAATCAAAAAATTCGAAATCGCGTTTCGCATAAACACAAAAAGAAAAATAGCACAACCAAAACAGATACAAGTAACAAACAAGAAAAATGAAATTAAGAAAAAAAATGGTTCATGAAAAGGCCTACGTCCAAACTAGAGAGTTTATAAGAGAGTTTCAATGTGTTCATGAAACTAACTCACTCTCTTTCTTTCTCTCTCTGCGGAGGGAATGGATTGTAGCAATTTCTTCCCTCTTTTTGTTTTGAATATCTTTGGTTCTCTTGTGTTTACAAGAGATTTTCAATGTGTTTGAGTGGTCAGACTATATAATCTAATCTATCAAATATTCTAAATAATTGGTTTCCACAATAAATTGGGTTAACTACTGGCTAAAATAAAATAAACATGATAAAAAAACTATTTTATACTTAAAAATACATGATAATACAAAGAAAACAGCAAAAATCCTATTACTCTTCCTTAATGAACTCAAAACCAATATTAAGACTTTTAGACAATATAATTATTATAATTCCATTTTCTTCCATTATAGACCGGTCAGTGTTTTAATTTAACTTTTTTCATCATCCATTCTTCTTCTTCCTATTTATAATACCTAACATTGTTTGTTTGTTATATAAGACTCAATTTATATTATTTTATGTATTAATTATTTTTATATTAAAATATTTTTATTTAAATAAATTTATTTAATTTGATAAAATATTAATTTAAAAGACATACCCTATAATTGATTAGGAGAGAATAATATTATGAGGAAAAAAGTAATATGAGGATATATATTATAATTGATTAAGATAAAAAAAAAGTATTAATTAAAAGAAAAAATAATATAAAAATATTTTTTAAAAATTATAAAAATAAAGGAAAAGCATGACATGTTAGAACAAATTCATAGTCCCGTTACATTAGTGATAAAACTTTCTAGTATTCAGTGTTTACTAGTTCCAACAAAACGTGTATCCTTGAAATTATTCTGCATTTTTATGCTTGAATATTAACTAAATAAAATTTTGATTTTCTAAAAAAAATGATTTCACCCTTTGAACCCGTAAAAGGGTACTTGTTTCACAAGTTAAAGGCACTCTTACCTAACAAAATATTGATCGAGAATCTTAACTAAAATTAACCGGTTATAAAAATTGTAGCCAATCATATTCGACCGATCAAAAAGTATATATAACAGAATTTTAACTTAAAAAATAAAAGTTAATTTTTTGTAATAGTTTTTAATTAACGAATTGTTATAAAACCAATTAATTTTGGTTATGGTTAAATTTTTTATAAGATCACCTTTAATTTAGGCTTTATTTTTCTTCTCAGTTTTAGACTTTTAGATATACCAAAGAGACCAAAACCTCAAAAAAAAAAAAAACAATAACATTATTTGTGTTTATCCTCTCTGACATAGGAATTTTCTAACAACAGAGATATACTAACATAAAATAGTTGATAAAAAATTTAACACTAACCTTTACTTTATGTGTATCTCTCTCCTACTAGACATGATCCAGTGATCCACACACCTGAAAATGCCACCAAGGCATATATAATAGCTCTAGAACTAGTGATCATTAAGTCACATAACATAGACTATAAAATACTCTTCAATTAAAAAAGATCATTATTATTAACAAAATGAGCAGTTATTTTTTCCTATTACATCTTTAAAATATACATTAATAAGAAAAATGTTAAAATATAGAGTAAATTACATTATTTTCACATGAGATAAAAGTACTACACCACTCTCCCCTTTTATGTTAAAATATATAAACTATTTTACTCTCTTTTGAGAGATAAGAGTATTAGACTTTCATATTCTTTTATATTAAATATACAATTTAGTTTATATTATCATTTCCAATATCATATTCCTGAAATCAAACAAGATATTTTATAAAATGTCTATGACATAGTTGCACAGTGCACATGCAATCAAACGAGAAAACCTCAAGGAAAAAAAAAAAAAAAATAGAAGAAATCCAATCATAGGCTTTATGGGAACTTGATTGGCAATTAAAAGTTATTTCTTAAAATTTCCTGATCCATATAGTATCCTGGAACAGATAATTCTAATATAATCAAATCAAATTAATCGGTAAAAAAATTGACAGAAGTAGGGGAGATGTAACTCTTTGGTATTGTACAACATATGTTGTCATTTGGAGCTCAATTATTTAATGGAGAGTCTAGAAAAAAACCAAGTCTGGTGTTAGAAAGCATTTGCAGTCACCCCTAGCCTGCCTTAGTTGCAGCCTCTTTGGGGTTGCCTTAATTGCAGCCTCAAGGGTAGTGTTTACTCCAACATTGACTAGAGATATAACTTAAATAGAGCTTATAAATCTTGGAAAATCCTCACCTTATAGACTTGTTTTGTAGGGTAGAGTTAAGCTCTACATCCAAATTCTAAGATCTATCTATATTAATTATAAGATGGAAGAAACAGATTTAGCATTATAAAGTTGTGCATGTTTAGGAAAGGAATTAATATGGCATTTTGATAGTGAATACTATATTACAAATTTACAATCTCAACATATCAGCATCAAGTGGTAAAATATCCATGTGTGTGCCTGTGCATAGAGAGTATGTTAACCCACAAAAATAAAATATAAGACATAGTTCGTAACATGAAATTATTTTACCTGTCCTCCCGATGCTAATAATGCTCCAAATTCAAGTACCTTGTTCATATCAAAGCTGTCAAGGGACAAAGTAAATATCTTTCAAAAAATATATTCAATGTAACAAAATAAGGGGAAAACTATTTTCAAACAATATTAAAATATATTTTATCAATTCATAATACTCTCTAGATGCATTTTACTTTGGAGCAGTCTTTTGTGGATCAGTAAAAAGGATTGGGTAAAAACAATGGTGTAGAACTCTATGGCAGTGTTCACTGTTCAGTTTAAGCAGTTCTTTGGCGAAACAGATTGAAGTATAAAGCCAAAACTTCTAAAAAGGTGTCCCTTTGCTCTTAAATCTGTTTCATTTGATTTTGCTTATGCTTCTCTTCAGTATTTGCCCACTGCTGTTTCAAGAGATTTCCGGTTTTTATATGCAAAGGATTTATATGCAAGTCATCACACTATCAATAGAGGTCGATGATGATACATCTTCAAGTTTGGGCCTCTTCAAGTTTAAAACAAATTCATCTGCTGAAACTTGCATATTTAAATCAATGTCCCTCTCTCTCTTCAATATATTTGGTATACTTTTGTCTTCTAATTCAATAAACAAGGTCCCAGACATGCGTGAGTCATGTTTAAATATACCAGCAGAAGCACCTTGATGAGTTAATATCTCTCTCAATGCCATCACGCTGCCATGTCGTATCTCCCAAACTAGCAACAGCATTTGATAATTAATCACCCAAAGAAAAATAAGTAAAATGAATGTAAAAACGCACTAGTCAATATATATCCCACATTTTCTTCAAAATTGTACAAAGTGTGACAGTAGGGGTGAAATGCTTACCAGGATCGAACATATCAATAATAAGTTGCTCAACAAAAGCGTGGAAAGGCCATTGTCTATCCCCATCATGCTCAAAGCCATCTTCGTCATGATTAACATCCATGAATGCCTAAACAAAATGATGCATTGAAATAACTCCAAATTATGCCTTGTGATTGATCATCAATGGAAAATGTATCAATTTGCATGTAAAAAACTGAGGTTAAAATAGCATTTTCATAGACAACAGACAAATGAAATATGTTCAATCATTTCCAAATTTGTATCATACAAAAAAATATGATAGAATAGCACCACCCACAGCATAATAAGAACAACAAACAACAATGATTAATAATTATAATTAATAATCAACAATTAATTTCTACCAGCAATAACTATAAGAGTGTCATGGAATAATTGTGACAAGGCATGCCCTAGAAGGCCCAAAATTTCCAATGAACTAAGAATCAAACCAGAATATTACCTTACTGAAATTTACTGGATCAGGAGATGTGCCTTTTGGAGTCAAATTTTGAGCACCTGATGCCTCTGTACTTCCATCTTCACACCAGGTTTTTGTTTGGTCTTTAGAGTTTATTTTTGCTTTTCGCTTTAAAAGATTCAGTTCTCTTGCACTTGGCCACTTTGATTTGACACAAGGAACCATGTTTGCAACCATTTTCTGGATGTTATGTACAGAACAAGATGTAAAAACTCTACGATCTATTCCATTCAGATGTGAGTCTGATTTTGATGCCATAAGATCTTCATCTCTTATTACATCACTGATATCCATAAATTGTTCACAGACATCCAAGCCTACATTAACCAAGAAGGATTTAAGGAATCAGGACATAAAGCATAAACTTAGGGTGCGTAAGCTTGGGGTTTTGGGGTTGAAGGGGGGGACCAATTTTATTAGGGTTTTCTTTGATGTTTTTCATAAGCTACTCATTTTAGTTTTTCTACAGAAAGCACTGAAATTCTTTTTCATGTCATAAAAAAATAAATAAAAATCAATGCCTTGTTACAACTCCTTTAGATGCAGAAAATAGAAGGAGCACAAAAGAGTTAAGCAGCTATGGTGGGTCCTCTTTTTATCAAACCCCCATAAATACAATGTCATTGCCACCAAATCACCTTCTCTACAAGTGTCCACTTACATCAACTAGAGCAGATAATGAATAAGAATATTATATGACATACATGTTCAGCAATCATGAACTTTGTTAGGTTATCATTTCATTACGGGATGACGAGATACTACACCTTGAGGCACTCTTACTAACCTAAACGACGTTGAAGATTTTGCTTCTGACGAACCAATCGCTCCTTTGGGTTTTTTATATTATCATTTCCAATATCATATTCCTGAAATCAAACAAGATATTTTATAAAATGTCTATGACATAGCTGCACATGCAATCAAACGAGAAAACCTCAAAAGGAAATAAAAAATAGAAGAAATCCAATCATAGGCTTTATGGGAACTTGATTGGCAATTAAAAGTTATTTCTTAAAATTTCCTGATCCATATAGTATCCTGGAACAGATAATTCTAATACAATCAAATCAAATTAATCGGTAAAAAAAATTGACAGAAATCATTGGAAAGGGGAGATGTAACTCTTTGGTATTGTACAACATATGTTGTCATTTGGAGCTCAATTATTTAATGGAGAGTCTAGAACACAACCAAGTCTGTTGTTAGAAAGCATTTGCAGTCACCCCTAGCCTGCCTTAGTTGCAGCCTCTTTGGGGTTGCCTTAATTTCAGCCTCAAGGGTAGTGTTTACTCCAACATTGACTAGAGATATAACTTAAATAGAGCTTATAAATCTTGGAAAATCCTCACCTTATAGACTTGTTTTGTAGGGTAGAGTTAAGCTCTACATCCAAATTCTAAGATCTATCTATATTAATTATAAGGTGGAAGAAACAGATTTAGCATTATAAAGTTGTGATGTTCAGGAAAGCAATTAATATGGCATTTTGATAGTGAATACTATATTACAAATTTACAATCTCAACATATCAGCATCAAGTGGTAAAATATCCATGTGTGTGCATGTGCATAGAGAGTATATTAACCCACAAAAATAAAATATAAGACATAGTTCGTAACCTGAAATTATTTTACCTGTCCTCCTGATGCTAATAATGCTCCAAATTCAAATACCTTGTTCATATCAAAGTTGTCAAGGGACAAAGTAAATATCTTTCAAAAAATATTTTTTTTTGTGGATCAGTAAAAAGGATTGGGTAAAAACAATGGTGTAGAACTCTACAGCAGTGTTCAATGTTCAGTTTAAACAACTCTTTGGCAAAACAGATTGAAGTATAAAGCCGAAACTTCTAAAAAGGTGTCGCTTTGCTCTTAAATATGTTTCATTTGATTTTGCTTATGATTCTCTTCAGTATTCGCCCACTGCTGTTTCAAGAGATTTTCAGTTTTTATATGCAAAGGATTTGGAAGCCTAGTGATGCACTTCCAGTTAGTTTTATGTTTTCTATCTTTTTTCTATTTTCAATTGTGAAGGATTTGGCCCCCTAGTGTACCTTCTTTTTTTTCTCTTAATAGAAATGTATTTTTTACGCAAAAAAAAAAAGTCAAAGAACAATTTATTGTACAACCTTCTAAACGAGCTTCCTGTAATTTTTGGTTGTAAATAAGGCCATGAACACAGATCCTCAATGCTAAAAGATATCCCATTCTCAGAAATTTTTGAAACAACAGAAGCAAAATGTTCAGTCAAACTTATGTGCTTAACATTCTCAGCAATTGACCCAATTGCATGAGCAGCTACTACTCTTGTATCCCAATTTTTGCTACGCAGATATTGAGAAACCTAAGCATCACATGAAAACAGGATGTTAAAATCAATTGGACAAATATTTGACAGATTATCAACATATAAAATAAGAGTAAGAGATGAAAGATAAAAGAAACAACCATTAGTATTTAATATTTATCTTGTATAAACTTTCAAAAAACCTTGTTGAAATTAAATTAATTCAAATCAAGTTCATAGATGCAGATCAACTCTAACATGCCCTTATTGAAATAAAAGAATATCTTTATCACCGAAAATGGGAAAATAATATGAAAAGTGAAAAGGAAAAGGGTAGATAAAGACACAAATATAATATAAATATTATGCTTGATCATTTGAGTGCCACCAGAAGTGGAATAATTTTGTCAAAGTCATTGTTGTAATATTAAATGATATTTGGAAAAATTATATGATCAATATATTAATTCCACATTATCAAAATTTTAATGGCATTCGTGTAAGAATTATTTTCTTGAAATTTGAATGATATTATGTTCAAATTTAAATTGATATTTTTTATATCAAATTTAAGTGCGAATGTTGGCAGATTATAGACCCTCTTTATTAATTAATTTTTCTGGTAATTTTTTAATTAAATAAATTGATGTAATATATTTCCAAAGCAATCCCTATTATAGAAATTAATTTGATTAAAATTACAATAGATATGTTAGTATGAGATTATTTATTTATGCAATTTGTGCTCATCCCAAAGGTAGACACAATTTGGCCAAATAATAACATGTTTGCGATGATAAATGTGACAATTATAAAGTTACAATCATGTGAATAATAGTCGGTCCAAACAAAGACTATTATTTGACAGAATTAATTGTCAATATTTGATCGTTGCATTGAGAGTACCACTAACAAGTTAATTTGTATGTCCAAAGACAAATAATTAATGTTGTGCTCAGTATCTTGTAATGGGTCTATTATGTAAATAATCTGCATGTTTTATTTATTTTATTTTACTTTGTGAGCATGTAATTAAATTTAAAAAAATTTCAATGTTCTATTACAGTTGCTGTTGTTAGTGCTGTTAACTTATCTGTTCAAATTAATTGTATACCCATGCATAATGGGACAAGCTTATGCCCTACATGTTCTCATGATCATTACAAAATGTATTTAATAACCACCGTCTCAATTTTTTGACATCAGGGTAAGGCATAAAAAGATCGTATACCTCCTTTTCCATCATTTGTCGACTAAAATAATCATCATACAACTTACAGACTCACACAAAGACAAAGGAACACAAACACACCCACAGACACACATATAGACAAACACACATAGAGGCATACAAGCACATATAGGTGCACTCACACCAAGATAGACATGTATATATACACATGCAAAAATACATACAAAGAGAGAGACTAAGACACACATGAAGCCATATACACACACATAAACACACGCATATACACAACCACAAACAAACACATGAATACACAAATATAGACACACATAAAAATAGAGAAACACACAGACACAAACACACACACACACAAAAACACATGTATAAACACGAGTAGAAAAACATAAGGACACACGTACACAAACGTAGATAGACACATACACGAATACACACACACACACACAAACACACGCAAACACAGACACACAATGATAGACACAAAGATACACAGCCACACAAACACATAAAGACACATAGTAACACATAAGCACAAAGACACACACAAAGGAAAATAGACAAATATAGTCTCACACACCTACAAGCTGGAAGAGTCGGGCGGCGGAGCAGAGAAAATCGCCAGCGAGGATGAGGCGGTAGAGTGTCTGAGTCGAGGGAGAGAGAGAGGCTCCGTCAATAGCTAAGGATTAGTCGAGCGAGGACGAGAGAAAGTGTGCATCACTTTAAATCTTTTTTCCTCTTTTTATTTTTATTTTTCTTGTTATTGATTTTTAAAAAATTAAAATTAAAAGATGGCTGGTCAATTTTTCGCGACATAAATTTATATAATTATATATTTTAAAACATATAAATATATCTTAAATTTATGATGAAATATTTATGTTATAACAATATTATCATTAAATATGCATCATTTTTATTTTTAAAATATAAAAACTTATTTTATAAATGAATATAATAAATAAAATATTAAATTAGATATAAAGTTAAATAAAATTCTTTGAAAATTCTTTTATCGAAAAACAATCTCAAAAACATTATCAATAAGATAGTTTCATGTTTAATATATAAGAGTAAATATATAAATTAGATTTTATATTTGTATTATATAATTTATATTGGTACAAAACAATTTTAAATTATTAATAATTTATTTTAAATTTATAAAATATAATTTTTAAATAAATATTATATTTAATATTTTTGATAATTTATTTTTATTTTTCTTGAGGATTAACAACTTGTTACTAGCATTATCAAGTTGGGCAATCACTCATTCTTAAAAAACAGTATTCTTAAGTCCAAAGAGTCGAGCGGTAGAATTGCAATTGCACCAAAGGGAGACCGAATAAATTCACCTTAGTGATTGTTTGTCATTTTTTTTTTCAAAATATCTTCATTTCATTGTGACAGAAAATGAAAAGACGTTCTATAATGTAAAATAACAAATCTACCATTGGCATTGTTCATAATATGGTCTGGTGTGATAAGATGAAGCACATAAAAATATGTGCATTGAATAGTATTATAGCGACAAGATATGACCCTTTTGGTGGACAACTTTTAGATATATTAACCACAAGTGTTTGAACCGGGAACTATAGATATTCGTACACTGGCTTGAGAAGGAGTGTCGGAATATGTATTAGATATGTGAAAAAATATGATGATTGAATATTTTACATGTCCTTATAAATACAATGTTAGAAATAGACTATATTGTATCCACCTAGTAAAATTATCATAAAAAAATAATATTAATTTTCCCATATATTTTCAAGTCTACTCGATCATAATATGAATATCTACCAGACATTCTAAGTATGCCTTTTTTAGTGGGCCTTTTACTAGTGCTCCTTTAACATATTTTGAATATGGATCATAGCATCCAAATGGCCATCATAATTGATAGCTTACTGCGAGATGTCTCAATGTGACAAAGGTAATTTATTTTTCTGACTAATTTTTTATATTTTCCCAGGTTTGACAGAGGCTCTTCCTGTTCTAGTTGAAATTTGACATCAGGATCCCTACTAGTGTCATTGTGCTTTGAATTCTTCAAACCTATTTCCTCAAGGATCCATGTGCAGTTGTCTTTCAAGTTTCAACAATTTCTTTTTTCTTTTAGTCTCATGGAAAATATCATTAATTTTCAGGAGTCAAATAAACAGATATACAGTAAAGAAAGTTCAAAGCTGAGGCAATCAACATAAGATAAAAGTAGTTTGATACCTCATTTTTATAACACCTCTACCACACCACTCTTGCTTTTTAAGTAACTCCAGCCTTTTCTTTTCATCCTGTTTTTCTTTTTATATAGCAAAAGAACTCCTATTATTCTATTTTGACAACATTAAGAAGTGGAAACCACTAAAGTTGTCCAATATCCAATATAGAATATCGTAATCAGTGATCTAAAAATTGGAACAGAGAGGTTAATCTGTTAATTACCTTTTTCTAAAGAATGGTAAGTTTCCGTCTTGTTGACCCACAATTCCTTCAGCTACTTTGTTTGCTTGATTGTGTCATTCAACCTGTGATATTTGGAATCACTTGGAATGGACCATATCACCTAAGCCTCCAATACTTGCAAGATTAATAGGTTAATGCATATGACCATTGATGAACCTGTTCCTTAAATTTAATGATCAATCAATTAATTCAAGGATCAATTTAGCTTTCAAAACCTTGAATATAACATATGTAGCTAGCCAGCACAAAACTATAGAAAATGGAGACAAGCAAATAGAAATTCCCATGGACATAAAGAATATAAGAAATAACTTCAACTAAAGAAAAAAGATCACGCTTCTTGTTATATTGAACTAAACAAAAATATTTTTTACGTGGCATTAACAACTCTATCATATCTTACTTTTGCTTTTCCTTAAAATCACGGATGATTTTGATGTAACCAGCTCATTGGAAAGAGATGAATTTCCAATTGTACAGGCGGTAATGTACTGCTGAAGATTGAAGAAATCCTGAAATCTTGAGGAAGAGAAGAATGATCATATCTTATTATTATTATTGTTATTGTTATTGTTATTGTTATTGTTATTGTTATTGTTATTGTTATTGTTATTGTTATTGTTATTGTTATTGTTATTGTTATTGTTATTGTTATTGTTATTGTTATTGTTATTGTTATTGTTATTGTTATTGTTATTGTTATTGTTATTGTTATTGTTATTGTTATTGTTATTGTTATTGTTATTGTTATTGTTATTGTTATTGTTATTGTTATTGTTATTGTTATTGTTATTGTTATTGTTATTGTTATTGTTATTGTTATTGTTATTGTTATTGTTATTGTTATTGTTATTGTTATTGTTATTGTTATTGTTATTGTTATTGTTATTGTTATTGTTATTGTTATTGTTATTGTTATTGTTATTGTTATTGTTATTGTTATTGTTATTGTTATTGTTATTGTTATTGTTATTGTTATTGTTATTGTTATTGTTATTGTTATTGTTATTGTTATTGTTATTGTTATTGTTATTGTTATTGTTATTGTTATTGTTATTGTTATTGTTATTGTTATTGTTATTGTTATTATTATTATTATTATTGTTATTGTACCGCCCACATCGGCACTAACTCCTCGGCTAAAAGCATTTGGAACTTGGGGGACTAGTGAACTGCCCACATCGGCACTAGGGCCCACCCTGGCGACGATGGGCTCGGACCATGCCAACTTGGAAGGTCGGCCCATCTCTCCAACAGATAAGATAAGCTGATAAGAAGGAGATTTTATCATATCCTAACCAACTCAATTATCAACAAGGAAAAAACCCTAATTATATTAAGGTACGTGCACTATATATATGAGACCCATACACCCACAAAAGCTAACTTAAGTATTGGAGTCTCTTTTACAGGTACCAACCCCATCTCAGAGTAGTAGACGTACCAAGCAGAGGAAGGTCACCGATCTTACCCAGAGATTGTCTCACCCACCGATCTCGGGTAAGAACAGTTTGGCGCCCACCGTGGGGCTGAAGAAAAAATTCCCTTTGGCTGCAATAATGGTTTCCACCCGTAACAATAACAGGCCACCCACCAACGCTCCAAACAACGGGCCCAGCATGGACAGAGAAACCATCGCCGAGACCCTGGCCAAGCAGATTGACATCCTACAACAGCAAAACATCGTTGCCATGCGCGCGCAACAAAAAGCTGACATCGCAGCTTTGCGAGCCGAGAACGACCTCATCCGAGTGCAGATTCCTCGATGGCCACCATCAGCTGATCCCCCCGAGGACGAGCACTAATCGCCCTCCCCACCTCGGACGAATCGGTCACATGCCCCAACGTCGCGTAGAACCGCGAACATCAGCCACTGGCCATTCCAGACCTCGGGTCCAAGGATCGGCACAAGGTGACACCCTTTTGCCGATGGCATCATGGAGACCCCTCCCCACATGGATTCAAGCCACTAAACATTGACCGATATAAAGGCACCTCGGACTCGGATGAGCACCTAGACGCGTACATCACCCAGATGAACCTGTACACTGATGACGATGCCATCTTGTGCCGTGTGTTCCCTACCTTCCTAAAGGGCCCCACTCTGAACTGGTACACCCAGCTACCTCCAAGATCGATAAGCACCTTCGACGAGCTCTCACATTGCTTCACAGCTTAGTATGCCACCAGTCGCCCACATCATATCACCTCGGCCACCTTGGCCAACCTCAGACAGGGCGACATTGAGTCCCTTCGCAAATTCATGGAATGCTTTGCCAACGTGTCTGTGAAGATTCAGAATCTCAACCCCGAGGTCGCACTGCACTCCATGCTCATGCACTCAAACCAGGCCCTGTCGTTGATAGTCTCTGCAGAAGACCACCCAAACATGGATGACCTACGGGCACGGGCTGCCGGGTACATACAGATGGAGGAGCATGTCGAGTTTCGCGACAAAATGCGTGCAAAACCAGGCAATGGCAACAACACCAACCATAAGGACAAGCTCAGGGTCTCTAACGAGACTAACTTCAAACGATCAGGCCAAGGTAAAGGACCAAGGTACGATTTCTACACTCCACTAAACACACCTCGCATCCACATCCTTGACGAGGTGGTTAATATCGATCCCATCTCCCTGCCACCTCCAGCACACACCCCGGCGAACGTCGACAAGTCCAAGCACTGCCAGTACCACCGCAACTTCAGCCACACTACTGAAGAGTGTTAGACACTGCGCGACAAAATCGAAGAGCTTGTATAGGCCGTTCATCTAGGACAATATGTCCAACGATCCTAGGCTCATAGAGGAGGGCACACTGGACGGGGACGCGGAAGAGGGCGAGGATACCACTCTCCCCACGATCAAGCCACTAGCTCCAAATCCAAGACCGGGCACGTTGACCAACCAAAGTCCAGCTCAGAACCCAACCAGGCCCTCCTAAGAGGAGTAATCAACACCATCGCCGGAGGATTTGTAGGGGGAGGATCCATTAACTCAGCCCGCAAGTGACACATTCGTACTGTCAACCATGTCCAAAGTCGATCAACAAACCATACGCCACAAAACCTTCCCATCACCTTTACGACGAGGACTATGCCGACATCAACCCAAACCAGGGAGGCTCAGTTGACGTCCTCTACTGGGCCATCTTTCTCTGACTAGACATACCACACTCGTTGATCCAACCTCACAACGAGCCCCTACTCGGCTTTGTCGGAGAACACATCCACACCAGAGGATATGTCAAACTACTAACGACCTTCGAAGCCCGCCCTCAACCAGGCGGGTCATGGTTAAGTACCTCCTCATTGAAGCCTATACCTCCTATAACATCATTGTTAGCCGACCCACTCTAAACTAATTAGGCACAGTGGTGTCAACCCCGCACCTCACTATGAAATTCCCCAGGCTCAACAGTGACATCTTCTCCATAAAGGTGAATCAGAAAACTGCGTGTCAATGCTACGCGGAAAGCCTTAAGGTCTCCACCCAATGCGCCGACCAGCCATCCCTAGCAATAGTGGCTCACATCGCCAGCCCAGCACTGGCTGACCTGGACCCTCAATCTGGCTGCACCGATCAAAGGCCAAGCCCAGTCGACGAGCATAGAATTCCAAATCGGCCAAAGTTCAGGTCAATGCACCAAAGTGAGCCAAAACATAAGCCCCGAGCTACGCTAGCAAATAATCGCCGAGGTACGTAAAAATGCTGACCTATTTGCTTGGTCAAGTACTGATATGCCAGGGATTAGTCCCGATCTCATATGCCACAAGCTAGCCATCCATAAAGAAGCAAAACCCGTCGCACAACGCTGGCGTAAATCGGAGAAGAAAGGCATGACGTTATGGCCAAAGAAACTCGAAAGCTGCTAGATGCAAACTTTATACGAGAGATCGTCTACACCACCTGGCTCGCCAATGTGGTGCTAGTAAAGAAAAACTCAGGAAAATGGCGTATGTGCATTGATTACACCGACCTCAACAAGGCGTGCCCAAAAGACGTTTACCCAATACCAAGTATAGACAGATTGGTAGATGGAGTGTCCAGTCATGCTCTCCTCAACATCCTTGACACCTACTCAGGATACAATCAGATCCCAATGTACCCCCCGGACTAGGATAAAACGACATTCATCACTAAACATGCCAACTTTTGTTACCAAGTAATGCTATTCGGTCTCAAAAACGCTAGCGCTACCTACCAGAGACTAATGGACAAGGTTTTCCACAATAGATCGGCAAAAAAATGGAGGTCTATGTCACGACATGGTCGTGAAAACCACAACGGCCGAGTCACACATAGCCGACCTAACTGAGATATTCGGAGAGATAAGGAAGCACAACATGAGACTAAACCCCGAGAAATGCGCTTTCGGAGTACAAGGAGGGAAATTTCTGGGTTTCATGATCACAAATAGAGGAATCGAGGCAAACCTCGAAAAATGCCAAGCCATCATCAACACGAAATCCCCCCAAACGCTGAAAGAGGTGCAAAGATTAGTAGGGCGACTAGCCTCCCTCTCACGTTTCATACCCAAGCTAGCAGAAAAGGCAAAGCCGATCTTCAACCTACTACGAAAGCTCAAGGAGTTTGCCTGGATCGAACAATGTGAAGTGGCATTCTCAGTCTTCAAAGACTTCCTCGCCGCCCCACCAATCTTAACTCAACCAAAAGACCAAGGTGAGCTACTTTTGTACCTTGCAGCTACCTACAACGCGATCAGTGCAACCCTCGTGTAGAAAGACGATGCGAAACAAGACCTAATATATTTCATCAGTTGCATTCTCCAAGATACCGAGATGAGGTACCAAACCATCGGGAAGCTAGCCTAGCGCTTGTTACCATCACCCGATGACTCTGACCATACTTCCAGAGCCACCAAATCGTCGTCAAAATCGACTACCCCATCAGAAAAATACTCAGAAAACCCAAACTCGCCGGACGTATGATTGCATGGTCGATGGAGCTCTCCAAATTCATAATTCAAAATTCGACATGAAAGCAAGGGAACACTCAAGTCCCAATGTTTGGCAGATTTTGTAGCCAAACTGACCTTGGTCACCTCAAGAGATCAAGAAACTTGGACACTGCATGTAGATGGCTCCTCCAACCCAAAAGGAGGGGGCGCTGGTATCATCCTGGAAGGACCCAACGACATCCTTGTTGAGCAATCTCTAAAGCTCGACTTCCAAGCCACCAATAACCAGGCCGAGTATAAAGCACTTCTAGCCAGATTGAGATTGGCACATGATATCGGCGCTAGGAACATTCATTGCAACAGTGACTCCAAGCTCATGGTAGAACAACTAGCAAGTACCTACCAAATTAAAGACTCTCTTTTGCAATGATACCACCTCACCACCTCGACCTGGACTAGGCATGGCAACGGGGCGGGGCAGGGGCGGGGAATGCAAATTTAAACGGCCCCTGTCCCCGCCCCCAATACCCGTCGGGGGTAAAATCTAGGTCCCCATCCCCGCCCCCGGCGGATTCGGGTTTCCCCACCCTACCCCGGCGCCTGCTCCTATTTTTTTTTCTTCTTTTTTTTTCTTTTTTCTTTTAAATAAATATGAACAATTTCAAAAAAATAAAAGAAAAGTAAAATAATATAAATTTTTACATATAAATATTTCTAATTTTGGTTTATATATATATGAAAATAATTTTTTAATTATATTATTAAGCGGGGCGAGGGTGAGGGCGGGGACGGGGTGGGTATTAACATCCTCGTCCCCGCCCCCGCCCCCGATTTTATCAATCGGAGAAAACCCAAACCCGATAAACACGAGTTTTTCCCATCCAAATCGAGGTGGGTTCGGACGGGTACCTATGGGGGCGGGTTAGATTGTCATGCCTAACCTGGACCTCGTGCTTACAGAGTTTCACCATCCACCATGTACCTCGAGAAAGAAATGCCAGGGCCGACCTCCTCTCGAAGCTCGCCAATACCAAATGCCTAGGACAACATAAAACCATTATCCAAGAGACCCTGTCCTATCCGAGCTTGGAATGCGAGACAATCTACTAGACTGAACCGGTCAAAAAAGGATGGATGACCGACATATGGCGCTACCTAAGCGAAGGAATTTGCCCGACAACAAAAATGAAGCACGACGAGTTAATGATAGACTATGGCCAAGGCCAAGGAATCCAAGAGGTGATATCTTAAAAGAACCAAGAGGAATGGGATGATCTTAAAGACCTTTTCATATGTTTGTACATATAGTAGAATCTTGGCTAAAAACCTATTTTGGTCCCTTATAATAATTGTATGTTTCAATTTAGTCCCACTTTTATTTTCGGTTTCAATTTGGTCCCAAACTAATTAATTGGTTTCAATTAGGTCCCTAATAAATTAATTGGTTTCAATGTGGGACTACCGTCCAAATTTCTTTAAGGGTGTTAACTGTTGGCCACGTGG